GTGGAGGTGAGGAGTTGGGTTGACCTGTCTTGGAACTCTGAAATTCAGACAATTTATAGTCTTAATTGCCTGAGGCACTGAGAGATTAAGTAATTTCCCAGGATGGCTACCAAAGTGATATTCCTTGAGCACAGGTCTGGCTGGTACTGTCACTCTCTTACTCAGTAAATTCTATTGACTCCATTACCTCTACCTTAAAGTAAAAATTTTCATGTTTAGCTTTTAAAGCCTTGTACATTTTGGCCCTAGCCTATCTTTCCAGCTTCACTGGACATAACTCCCCCTTCCATTCTCTGCAGTTCAGCCAGAATGACCTTCTTTCTGTGTCTCAGACATAGCACTCCATCTCTCGTTTCCATGTGTTTATTCTAGCTATTCCTTGAGCTTGCACTGCCTCCTCACCACCACCTCATAGAAGTCTTCACTCCTTCAAGACTATAACACCTTTCCTTTTTCCTCCAACCAGTAGTCCTCTCTTTGCTTAATTTTCTATTGACTTATATGCATACTTACTCATCTTTATAAAATTCTTTTGAGATTAATTTACACACATGATGCTATTGTTGATGAAAATGATGGGACAAGCAAGTTTGTACAAATAATTTTCTGCAGCAGACTGCCAGATTGATGTTTCTAAAATCTTCATTGGCTTCCCATTCTTACTGAACAAAGTCTGAACTCTGTTGCCTGGCTTTAAGGTGTTCATGTTCTAGCTCTGACCTTGCTTTCCGGTACATTTATCTACATAATCTCTTTGCTCTAACACTCGTAGTCCACTTATTCCCTCAATGTCATGTATGTGCTTGCCTCTCTAATACAGTGTTAGCTGAAATTTATATCTGTGTTTTACAAATGAACAAATTGAGGCTCAAGTTTGCATTGATAGTTTAGACTTCACCTGAGAATGTTTTTCATGACATTTTAATAATCCACAGGATGGAAGTAACACTACAAAATTGGATCTTGTAATCTTTTTTCTTCTTAAACTTCCCCAGAACCGTAAATTGGATTTTTCCACTCATTTATGAATATTGAAATGATCACTTTGTAACTATTTGTGCTTATCTCTCTACTAGGATTTTAACATTTTATAGAACAAAGCACAGTACTTAAATTTTTTTTTTTGAGGTAGGTGATCTTATCTACAAAAGTAATATAGATATTTATCTATCCCAGTGTAGCATTTGCTAACTAACCACTCTTGAATTTGTGGATAGTGAATTTCTCTCTGTATATTGTATGGTTTGAATTTAGTTCAGTGGTTGCTTTTTTTTAGCTTGTTTTGAATAATGGAGAAGATGGGCACATGGGCTTTTGAATTTCTCTGAATCTTAATGCCTCAGGAATTGCATTATTCTGGACTTTATCATTGTACTGACATACCTCACATCCTTCCAGGTGACTTCTCAAGCTTTTTTTCATTTGTCTGAAGTCATAAGATAGTTTTTATACAAATCAAGAAGTGGGATATTGAGCTTCCTTTAGAGTGATTGAGGTAGTGTTTTTAAAACCTTTTCATTTTGATCACCTATTTCTTACAAATTTCTCTGCCCTTAAAAAAAATTCTGTTTGATAGTCTGGTTGCGTCATTACCACGTAATTAACCATGATTTTGATGTTTATGATAGGCATTTATTAAATACCTAATATGTAGTAGGCACTGAGAAGATTTAAGTAGAAAAATGAGGCAGTTTCTTATCTAAAGGAGAATCTATTGAACTAGATGCTGCATCTTGGTTTTTTAAAAAAAGCTTTATCAATAAGAGATTGAGGCAGTTAGGTGGCACAGTGAATAAGAGTACTGGGCCTGGATTCAGGAAGACTCATCTTACTAAATTCAAATCTGGCCTCAGAGGTTTACTTGCTATGTGACCTTGGGCAAGTCACTTTAATCCTATTTGCCTCAGTTCCTCATTTGTAAAGTGAGTTATAGAAGGAAGTAGCAAACCTCTCCAGTATCTTGGCTAACAAAACCCCCACACGGGGTCATGACAAGTCAGAAATGACTGAAGCGACTGAATAGCAAACAACAAAAAAAATGAGATTGAGAAGCTGAGTCCTAGAAAGCCTAAGTGACTTATTTAATGTCATCTACGTGATTAGTTGTTCAATAATACATAGAGAAAGAGACTTGACTATAGATGCCAGTAATATCCCCATTTGCTAAAGAGGGTAAGGTCTCCCAAGCTCTGGTATAGAGTGAACATTCTTGCTTGTCTTTTCTATTAACTTTTGTTAAATTTAGAATATTATACTTGAGACTTAATTTCTGATAAATCTTACCAGCTTTTAACATAGATGATGTACACTTGACAAAAAGAAAGGCATTTTCTTTTAGTTCTTTTTTAATTTGAATTTTCATATGAAATATATTGATATTTTGTCAACTCTGTTTTGAGAGAAAATGTTTTGAGTGTAGATAGAAATAAGTACTTTGCACAATTTACAAAATAACATAACTTCTTTGAATTCTTTCCCTCTTCGTGTTTGTTTCTTTATGTATTCTTTTGTGTGCTACAAACCCTAACTGTATTATTTGTTAAGTTCATGAAATCATTTGAAATTAAATTTAGAACTCTGTATTGTTCCTTGAAAATGTACAAAAATGCAATGATGTTTTTTGTCAAACCTTTCAAATTTAGATGGCAGCAAAATAATAGGAGTTTTGGAAAGTGGCAAAGTGTTTCCAGCTAGATGGGGCAGAATAGGTAGGGTTAGTTTTTTCTGTTTATTGGGAAACAGATGGAAAGACCAAAGTGTTCACTAAACATATATTAAATATTTTCTTATCTAAGCTCCTGCATATTAAGATTTAAATGATAGTGGTTGTATATTCATTAATGCAGATGAAGAAAGGAAGGTGGGGCTTACTTATAGTGTACCATCCTTTTTGTGGCCATTTTAGATAACGAATAACATGTAAACTATTGGCTTTTGAATTTCTCATTTTTATTTTTTTGGGGGGCGAAATTTATAACTTTACATGTAGGACCCATTTAAAGAGAAAGGATATGAAATTCAAAGTTTGGGAAAGTCTGAACTGTTTTCTTCAACCCATGGTTTCTCTCATAAACATTAGGAAGTAAGATAACTTGGAATCATTGGCACATGAAAGGGATATGATGAACAAAATTATTCATGTATTTTTAGTTAAAAATATACCTGTTTTTGCATCTACAAAAGCTCTAATTTAGTAGTCATGACACTTTAGTATGTCCTGGCAGTGATAAAAGACACTTATTTACTGGTTTTTGTTTTTCAAGGAAAATGAGAATAAAATATGTTCAAATGTACACTCCAAGCTTGTATATGGGGGAACGAGTGTCTGTTGTAGTTAAGAAGTGAATGCTATAATCAAGGTAGATAGAAATAAACAAAGCTGGAAGGAACTTAGTCTCCCTCTCTTATTAAAATCCCAGCAACAAAACAAAAAAGTTAGTCTTGTTTTGGTAGAGGAATAGAATTTGAAAATGTAAAAAAGTAACTTGGAATCCCTTCTATCCTATTGAGGCACAGAGAGATTGACATGACCAAAGTAAAATGTCTAAAAAGTAACAAGGCTCCTAAATTACAGTCCTTTACCTCTTTGCATTATATGCTGTTGTCATTATTCATTAGGCAGTCACTGATCAGAAATTCATTTATGTCTGAGAGGCATGGATAAGCCAGGAGTCCCAGTCAGGAGGTTAGTTAATAAAAGGGCAAGGTGTGTGAGTACCAGAAATCTGAATTAATAAACCAGAGTCTAGTCAAGGTTATCTGGAAGGAGCAGATGATTTATTGGATCTTTATTGTATATGGAGTCAGGACATTGTTTAAACAAATGCCAGCTCTATTACTTTACTATCTTTGTAACATTAGATTAGGCACTGAATTTCTCAGGACCTCAGTTTTCTCATTTGTAAAATGAGGAGTAGATTTAATCATCTCTTAAGATTTTCAAGCTTTGTATCTGTGATGCTACTTCAGGTCAAGACAGAATCCTAGAGAACAGCTCAGGTCAGAGTTTAGTTCCAAGTATGTAGATCAGCAAAAGTATGAATGAACAGATGGGTAGCAATCTTCTAAGTAGGAATATCTAATAAATGTCTTAAATATTAGGCTGGAGGGATGAAGATCCCAAGCTGGAAGTTTGGGGAAACACACAGACTCAGAGGGGCAGACACAGAGGAGAGATCACAAACCTAGGTAGACAGAGAAGGGACTAAGTGGTAGTTACAGAAGACCAACAGTAAGAATGGCCCTGATCTTAACCCAGTGGTTTTTGAGAAAAGCCTGATCACAGGTTGTGCTTAAGGCCAGAACTAGGATCAAATAGTGTGATCTGAAACCCTAAATGCAGACAACTGAGCTGAGCTTCCAAACAGTTTCTAACAACTATGCCATGTTGTCATTGTGGTTAAGCTATCTGTTGGATAGCCAAGAAGTTGACTTAGTGAATGGTAGATAAAAAAGCACCTGGTGAAATCCAAAACACATAGTCTCTCAACAAATGAATTTTAATGTTTATTTTGGAAGGACTTAGATGAAGGTTGTGGTTTGATCAAGTTTTATGTCACTATTCATTTAAATATGTGAGCAGAAAATTTATGACCATATTTTTCAGTATCATAAAGGAAAATAACACAAAAGAAAATTTATAATCATATTTTTCGGTATAACACAAAGGAAATATTCTACATGGGGGAAATAAGTAAGTGAATTCTGAATATTTAAAAAAGATTATAGCTCAGAATTATTAGACTTAAGTTGAATTCTTCATCCATACACATTTTTGGTCAAAATTTTTTAGAGGCATAGTTTAGGTCTTGGGCAATTTAATACTTTACTCTATAAAAAGACACCCTTGTGTTTTAGTTGAAGAATTTCTCTTAACAGAAGCAGCATTTTAATTTAAGTAGGGTATTGTCAGTAGAAAGATGTCTGGCATTTACATAAATTTTATCACTTTTGCAGGATTAGTCTTGCTTTGTATTTAAAGACATGTTCTTTTTCTTTAGCTCTATTCCCTGAATGACTACAAGCCACCTATTTCCAAGGCTAAAATGACACAGATTACTAAGGCAGCCATCAAAGCTATTAAGGTGAGAAATCAGTAATTTTTCTTAAACTACTATTGTATTTTCAAAAGAAAAGATCAGTCTTTACAACTGAGAGACATTTTTGTTCCCTGCATATGTACTTCATAGAGATATATACTACTAAGTTTATATGATATCTTAGAAATTAGCCTAGACTTCTGGGCAGTTACGCCTTATTGGTTTGAATATAGGCTATATTCCTCTGTGACTTCTTTGAAAGGAAAAAAAGAATACGCGCGTGCGCACACACACATATATAAGTATTCACTAAAAAAAATGATAGTGATTTTAGACTGCCCTCAGGTTTGCTACTAGCTAGGTTTGGGGAAAAGTACTGCTTTATATTCAGACCACCATGATTGTTAAACTTGAAAAAAGCTCTAAATAGGAAGTTTAGAGTTGTTGGGATTGGGTTGAACAGAACATAGTATTTGTAAATCAGTAGATTGATTATGGACACTTGATAAGTCTTCATTAGAACAATAATTATCCAAACACAAAATGTTTACATTGTTTTCTTTAAGATAGTTTACATATTCTTAGATACAGGGTGTCCCAAAAGTCTTAGTGCAGGTCTAAGCTATATCAAAAAAAAAAAGAACACCTTAAAACTGCAGGAGGCTTTTGGGACATCATGTATAAGAAGCTCCCATTTATCTTGGTTTTTCAAAAAGCCCAAATAATCAGATTTTTTTTACTTTTTGCATTGACCTTATGAGAGAGCAAGACAACCAAACTGGTATCAAGTTGTTTTTTTTTTCTTCTAAAAAGCAATCTGTAGGGTATGCCATAGTATAGTTGTATAGTTATCATTATAGCCTAAGAGCCCTTATGTTCTGTATTTAAAATGTAGTAGTCACTGATGTTCATAAAGAAACTCTACTCTGGAAGGAATCCAGAAGCGATTTTGGGTTTATCAAACATTTTCCATAGTTTTAGTGTTAACTTTATTTTTATTGTATTTTAATTCTTTTAAATTGCAGGTTTTCCTCTCCGGTACAATGAGGGGTTTGGGGTAGATGCCCTTCTTGCTCCAGCAGTTTTGTAGTTTTAATAATGACATGGTTTATATAGAAACTTATGAATTTATTCAAAGAGATTTAATCTAATTCCTCCACTTCTCCAGTCATTCCGCATAAACAGAATTATATTATTCCTTTTTTTTTCATGATTAGGTAAATTTGATTATTTTAATACAAGAAGCATTTTTTTTTTAAACTTTTCAAATTACTTGTTTAACAGCATTGGTTTGTTTTATACAATTATTGGTAAAAGGGAAGAAACTTTTTTTTTTTTTTTTGGTGAGGTGATGGGGTTAAGTGACTTGCCCAGGGTTACTCAGCTAGTAAGTATCAAGTGTCTGAGGCTAGATTTGAACTGAGGTCTTTCTGACTCCAGTGCCAGTGCTCTCTCCATTGTGCCACCTACCTGTCCCAAGGGAAGAAACTTTTGAGTGTTTTCTTTTTGTTAAGAAGATCAAGTCCTTTGTAAATGCTAATTATCTCTATCTCTTTTAAAGAAGCTCTGTTATAGTTAAGTAATATAGCTGATTATCTGTTGAGGCACATAATAAATTGACAGTTTTGAATATTTAAGCATAAAAGTGCCGTACACACACACAGTTTGCACTTTAAGAATTATATCTTATTTACAAAGTATTATTTCTTTTGTTTTAGTTCTATAAACACGTGGTACAGAGTGTTGAGAAATTCATTCAAAAGGTAAGTATTTGATATGTTATGTAAATAAGTTATAAACATATTGAAATTAGCTGTAAGTGATTTTTTGATATAAAGCATTAACACAATTTTAATTTATATGCAGATCATATAACAGTTTAATTATCCAGGCAGTGTTTAAAAGGGAGAAGTAAAATGTATCAGTTTTCATGAAACAGCTTAGTGTAGTAGAAGAGCATCGAACTTGGTGTCAGGCAGTCTTGGGTTTGAATGCTGTGTCTCATACTAATCTGATTGACAAGTTATTCAACATATCCAAAAAATAACTCATCATCTTTCCTTCTAAACTCACCCCTCTCCCTCAGTCAGTTAGTCAACAATCATTTATTAATCCCTATCCTCAGAAAGCTCATATTCTAATGTGGGGAGCTAGCACACACACAATTATGTATAAACAATACATATAAACACAGTATAAATGGGAGATAATCTAAGAGGGAAGGCACTATCAAAGGAAAAGAAGGAGGGAGACGCTCTTGGAGAAGGTGAAATTTGAGCCAATTTCTTGAAGAAGGCCAGTGAAGCTAGGAGGCAGAGGTAAGGAGAGAGCATTCCAGGAATGAGAGATAGCTAGTGAAAAGTTGCAAGGTTGGGAAATAGAGTGCTGTGTTCAAGGAATAACAAGAAGGTTAATACAGCTAGATTGTAGAATACGTGGAGGGGAATAAAGTGTAATAATACAAGAAAGGTAGGAAGCAGCCAGGTTGTGAAGGGCTTTAAGAGCCAAGAAGAGGATTTTATATTTGATCTTGGAGGTAATAGACAGCCCCTGGAGTTTATTAAATAGAAGGGGAGGGGGATATTGTCAGACCTCTGCATAAGGAAGATCAGTTTGACAGCTGAGTTAAGTATGGACTGGAGTGGGAAGAAATGAGGCAAGGGAGACCAACCAGACTAATCCTGGCAAGAGCTGATGAAGATGAGAGGTGTTGTGAAAATTAAAACCAACATGATTTGGCAATAAATTGGTTATATAAAATGTGAGTGAAGAGTTAAGGATGGCATTGTGGTTGTGAGTCTGGGTAACAGGAAAGTAGGTACTGTCACCTCCACAGTAATAACAGAATTCAGAGGAGAGGAAGATTCAAGGGAAAGGTAACAAGTTCTGTTTTGTATATACTGAGTTTGAGATGGCTGTACCCCATATGGGGTCGGAGCCCACAGTTTAAGAAGCGCTGATAAGGGGTCATGAGTGGAAAAAGTTTAAGAATTCCTGCTATAGTGCATACAGTTTGAGATGTCCATTGGGGAGTTGGTAATGCCAAACTAGAGGTCAGGAGAGTGCTTACTGCTGGGAAAAATAGTTTAGAAAATCATCTACAAAGAGATGATAATTGAACTACTCATGGAAGCTGATGGAATCACCTAGCAAGCTAGTATAGAGTAGGGATTCTTGACATTTTTTGTGTTGGGGACCCCGTTAGCACTCTAGAGCAGCCCATGGACTCCTTCTCAAATTAGTGTTTTTAATAAAAATTCATACTTGAAAGAAATGCTTAATTTCAGTTAGTAAATAGTGAAAATAATGATATAATACTTTAATGGATCCCAAGTTAAAAACGCCTGGTATAGAGAGAAAAGAGAAGAGGGCCCAGGACAGACTGTTCTACACCCTTCAGGAAGCTCCAGTAAAGGAGACTGAGAAAGAGCAGACAAGGTAGGAGAACCAGGAGAGAGCGGCATCACAAAAACCAAGACAGGAGAAAGTCTCCAGGAGAGAGAGAGTCTCCAGTGTCAAAGGTTGCAGAAAGTTCAAGAAGAATGAGGATTGAGAATGGGCTATTAGCTTTGGTACTTAAGGTGTCATTACTAATTTTGGAGAGCACATTTTTAGTTGAAACATGAAGTTGGAAGTCACACTGTAGAGGTTTTAGAAGAAAATGAGAAGAGAGGATAGAGAAGTAGAGATATAGGAAAATAGCTTCTGGGGATGGACCATTTGAGAGGTTTTTTAAGGATGGGGAAGATAAGGGCATTTATAGACAGCTGGGAAGCAGTTAGCGCATAGTGAGAGATTAAATATTAAGGAGTATAGGGATGATTTTCTGGAGAAGATGGGATAGAAGAATTGGGTGAAGGGTGCATGTAATTTCTATCATTTTTCTTTAGGTCATTACCATCCTTTTAGTTGCCTAGATTTCTAACCTTACAGTCATCCTCAACTTTCATTATCCATCACTCCACCCCACCGCCCAGTCCAATCAGTTTTCAAATCTTGTTGATTCTTCCTTCATAGCATTTCTAGTATCCATCCCTTTCTCTCCATCTGTAGGGCAATCACCCTAATTCATGCCTTTATCACCCATTGCCTAGACTATTACAATAGCCTCCTAATTGGTTTCTCTGCCTCAAATTTCTCCACTTTCTATTCTGTCCTACTTTAGCTGCCAAAGTGATAGCCACAGATAACTGACGTGCACAGATTTGACCATGTCACCTTCTCTGCTCAAAAAGCTCCAATAGCTTCTTAACACTATTGGGATAAAATATAAATTCCTCTTAAAGCCCTTCATGATCTGCCTCTGGTTTATAGTTCTAGGCTTATTGCACATTACTCCTCTTCTCAAACTTGATATTTTAGCCAAAATGCTCTACCTTTTATTCCTTATACTTGACCTTTTATCTTATGCACTTCAACTCTACCTCTTAGGATTTCCTGTTTTCCTTCCAAGCTCAGTTCAAGTGTCATCTGTTTTGTATGATGACTTTTATGGTCTTCCTACCTGCTGGGGAGATCATGACCCTGTAATTTTTGTATATATTTTGTATATATGTATGTTTGTACACACATACCTACATATACACACATACATAAGCACACACACACACCCACACACACACATACATACATACATACATCATACATCTAGCTTTACTACAATGAAATGTAAACTCCTCAAGGTTCTTCATTTTGTTTTTGAGTTTTTGTCAAAAACAGTGCCTAAGACAATGCTTGGCATATAGTAGATGCTTAAACATTGGTTATTGATTGGTGATTTTTATTTTAATTCACTGAATCTGTTCCTTAATCTCTAATAAGTGGAGATAACTATCATACCTGCCCCCAAAAGGTTACTGTATGTGAACCTAGTTAGATAATGTATATAAAGTACTTTGCAAATCCTGAAGTGCTATAAATTGTCAACTACCACAAGGTAGGTAATTATAAGAAAAAAAATAGGCATTTGATTTTTACCAGTACTTTTCAGATTTATTAAGGCTATAATAAACATATATCTGGTGGTAGTGAACATTGATCATTTGATAAAGTGTACTTGTATCAATGTGGTGAGCTGTATTTTCACCTTTTGTCAAAGATATTTTAAGTTGTAGGCTTCTACAATAGTACCGCTTTTGAATGGAATTGAGTATAATATGACTCCAAATGAATTCTGTTCTGCTAAGTCATTTTATCTGATCCATCAGCCAAATATAACACTATTTGCTGCTTGTGATAGACTTAGCACATTTGTCTTCCAATGAAAGCAAAATGGGAGGAATATAATTAGAAATAATTCCATTGCAAGATTTCAGAAATGCTAATACTGGTCTGGGCACAGTGACAACAGTATCCAGGTGGTTAGAGCTATAAGTTCTCTGCTTTGGGTCACTTCCTGTGTTGATATTTTGACAGGCAAAGTAAGTACAATATTTCTGCCTCATGTCTTTCAGCTTTAGGTCCTTTATAGTTACATTCTAGGTGTACTATTAACTCCTGTACGTGCTACTCAGGTGCTGCCATATGTGAATCAAGCTGTGAATTAGGCTGTGATTTTAAAGATCTGCCCTTCAGCTGGAACTGTTTTTAGACATAGTATAAGTTCTGATGTCAGAAGACATCTGATATTAACTACAGTTATCCCTTCTACATTGCTGCTTTCTCTATCACAGTTTTGATATATCGCAGGACGGCATAAGAAATTAAATGTTAATTTTTGCAGAGTTTTGTGGAAGCCACAGACAACAGACGAAGACCAGCAGATGACACAGAAAAAGTTTAGAAACTCAGATATGCATAAAATATACATATAATATTGTATAATATCAATATATTTTATCTTTTAATACCATAATAATTCATGCTTCTTCTCTGATATGAAGGGAGGTCCAAAAAATTTTATGGGCATTTTTCAGATAGGAGGGTGGGAGAAAAGGGGTGTGTCTGACCCTCTGTAGTTCTGAGACTGTAGTCAAGTAATTTGAAGCTTTCTGTGCCTTAGTTTCTTTGTATTAAAATTGGAAGGAAGGAAATAAACAACACCTACAATGTGCCAGATGTTGTGCTAAGTGTTTTACAATTATTATCTCATTTAATCCTCACATTAACCCCAAGAGGAACTCCAATTATTCCCATATTAGAACTGGGGAGACTGAGGCAGGCAAAGGTTAAATGACTTGCTCAGGGTCACACAGTTACTAAGTACTTGTCTGAAGCTGTATTTGAAGTTGGTTCTTTCTGACTTGAGGCCTAGTGCTTGATATCCACTTCAGTGGATAATTTACCCTAACTTCATTTTGGAAAGAAAAAATGCTGGATGAGGCTATTGAATTTTTGCTCAGCACTCATTTAGACCAATTGCTTTCAAATATAAAATGTCAAGTTAGTAAGTTGTTATAAACGTTTACATGCTGAAATGTGTATATTGACAATTGTCCTTAGCTGTGAAGTCATCAGATTGTAGAAGGTTTTTTTTTTTGTTTGTTTGTTTTTGTTTCTGCTTTTTGGTGAGGCAGTAGGGGTTAAGTGACTTGCCCAGCGTCACACAGCTAGTAAGTGTCAAGTGTCTGAGGCCAGATTTCAGCTCAGATCCTCCTGCTCCAAGACCAGAGCTGTGCCACCTAGCTGCCCCCGATTGTAGAAGGTTTTATGATTGATAAGTTCACTTTAAATGATTTTGTCCTTTTATGTATATTTCTGTTTTTATTCTCACTAAAAATATCTCAAATCTGAAATGTAATAAGACCATGTAATAGTAATTCTA